ACTCAAGTCTCTGAATCTAAGGGCGTCGGCCCCAGATGGTGCGACGATCGAACACAAAAGCGTGGGTTTCAGCATGAAGTGACGACAACAGGGCTACAACCTTGGCAAAAACATCTAAACAAAGAGTGGACATGTTTCTTCAGTTTTTTCATGGTGCCTCTTCACACCAAACGAAACTGACAAAGGGCCAAAGCGCAAGCGGTCTTTTTTCACTGGACAGTTCCGTCGAGGAGTTCAAGACGAGTTCAAGGTTGTGGCAGCACGAAGCTCAAGGTTTCACCTCACTCTTCCAAAAACGTCGGGAAAAGCAGGGCCTCAGAGGATCTCAAAAGCCACCTGGAGCAAAGCCGTGAGGCCGAAGGACTCACCGATGCTCTCCACCAAGATCTCTTCCACCACTGAGAGGACTTCGTCCTTCAAGTGGTCCTTGATCTCGCCCTTGAAGTCTTCCACGAGATCATCCACCATCTTGCCACGTTGTGGGCTTTCAGAACCGCCCTCGGCCTGTTGCAGGATGCTCCTCATCAACTTCTCATGGTTTTTGGAGTGGACAAATGTGAAAGCCATGAGATATTTCATGGGATTGTGCCCCTCCTCGGCCTGCAAGTACACATTCTTGGGCACCTGCTTCGCCAGGCTCTTCATGACTTTCTCGGGTTTCTTGGCATAAGCAATGGCCACATTCTTGGCGTAGGTCATAAAGCTCAGGAGGTACAACCCCAAGACCCTGTCGGAGGCTTCCTTGCTCATGCTCTTCTGAATGATGGTGTCTCGGTCAATCTTGGAATAGTTCTCCAAGAAGGCCAGCAACATACGGTATTGATCACCAGATCCGGCATCGAGCTGTTGCTGGATTCTCACGGCCTCCTTGTTGTTCTTGGCTGCTTCCATGGCCTTACAAGCCAAGTGCTTCACTCCAAACATCGCCAACCACGACACAGGGTCGGCCATCGTTCAGAATGGATCTGCAGCTCGAAGCAGGGTGACTCCAGGCGGCTTGAGCTGTGCGGCAGCGAATCTGCTTCTGTGAGACCTCGTGACTTGGTCCTGCGCCGGAGATCTTTTTTTGGGACATCCTCCGTTCAGTATGTATATATATATATATA